AATTAATGCTTGTACATAGGAGTGTGCGATAGACTTGCCTCCTCGTGGTGTACACTGGGCAACGTATACTCATACGGCAAAAAGTCTATTAACCGGCAGTTGACTTCTGACTTCAAACTACCATCACCCCACTGTATGCCATATTCGACTACTTCTACAGTACTCACCTCACCTTTTCTCTACCTTTGTGTTTGTCTGCCTCTTTTACATCTGTGAATCGCTCTTCTGTTCCCCACCTCTCGACTTTCTGCAACTTTGATGAACCTTTCCTCTGAGAAGACCGAAGTCAGCTAAATGGCTAATGGTAGCTATCAAAACGCCTGCCATTTGAAATAAATAAATAAATAAATAATTGTACATTTTCACGGTGATCTACGTTTTCAACCCCAGCAGGTGGTACCCAGACGAAAGCTAAGTTGTCAAATTATTAGAAGGCAATTTCTCAATCTTTGGCAACATGGCAGAGTTTATCTTAGACACACGCGATCTAAATCAGCTTGACTAGTCACAGCGAAATTGTCATGGTTTGAACTTAGAATCTTCTCATAATAGATATGATTCATTCAAGAATAAAGGAACACCCTTGCGAAAAGGCTAACGGCTTTCAAACCTTGGCCAGATTATAAATGGGTAAGTATTCTTACCGTCAGATAATTCGACAATTACGTTCATCAAATCGCCTTCCTTGACATCCAACTCGTCTCTTTCTTGAGCTCCATAGCTGATTGTCGCAATGACTTGAGGACAATCTGCAACAAAAAAGCAAACCCATTAACACAAGTAAATCCAACATTAAGGCTCTACGGAGGTAAATTTGAAGAGAAGGAATTAAACAACCACATTTTTTAATACTAAATGGTACATTTCCGATATGCTTCAGAAAACAAAACTGTTCTTCTCATTCCTAGACCAATCGATATGAATTAAATCTATGAAGCGCGCGCGTTCGATTGAGCCTAATTTTTCTGAACTTACAGAATCTCCTCCCTTCTGTTGAAAACTATTAAAATGAAGGGCTCTCCTTAAAGCTTAAACGGAGAAAGACTAACTTAGGATCCGATTTAATAAAAAAATTTGGAGTGGCGACGTCTTAATATAGTTAGTTATGACAATTTTCAACCCACGAATTCAACAATTATCAGTAAGTTAAGATATCTATCCCAATAGTCAGCACGGAAGAAAACACGTGAGCAGTGAATTTGGATGTCCGGTTTAGTTACACACAACCCAATACAAGTAGTGGGGTAAAAGTAGTCATTGTGACAAGATGGTTATATACTCTCACACAGCTTCGTGGCTTTCAACGCTTCTTGGTTCTTTATTCAACCCTCTACGTTAAATAAATAAATTTTTGTCCTTCCACTCTACATTGTCTCATTTTAAACCAAATTACCTGCATTTGATATTTTGTAGTAAAGTCAAATCAATCATATTGATAGGGTAGAAAAGGACTTAAATTATGGACTAGATAGATAGACGGTCTGAGGTAGTGTACTTTTTACATAGAAGTGACTGAATTGACCCATTTACGGTTAATTCTAGCGAGCATATTACCACTACTAGTGTGGTGGAGGGGGTTAGGCATCGAATATCCATCCAACCCCCTCCCATCCCCTCCCCTTCCCCCTTCTATGACAGGTATTGAACGATTTTGGAAGACAGCCATGCTTAAACTTGCTATCATAAGTAAATATTTCACCTGCCGCCCAATAGATATTTGCCGGAAATGATTAGGTATATAGTTTGCCAAACCAATTAAGAAAGCGTCAGCGTTACATGACTTGGTTAAAAGGAAGGGATTTGGCAGCCGCATTCCATGCCCCTCTTCTATGGGCTAGTATTAGGCCGCGCGTTTGACCTTTCATGTCACAGGATGTGCACCAATGAGCATCAACCTTGTGACACCTGACTAGGCTGACGTACATGTTGTATCCTTCTCGCCCCCCCCTCCCCCCCCC